ACAATCAAGGCTTCACTATTGGTTGTTTTGAAGTAGATCATATCATATGTTGTCATTTTCATACTGTCATCTGTGCTTTGCCGTCCATTTAAGCACTGTAAAGGATGGTTTCGACTTAAATCCATTGTAAAATTTATAGTCCTACAATAAGTTTAGTTACTGCTATAACCCTCCCAACGGTTTACCGCCTCATCGTGACTGGGAGGTGTTCCTGGGTGCCGGGCTGCAATGTACAGCGAGGGATTCATCTCCCCGGCAGGGTCTCCCAAACTGAAAAGGAGTCTTGCTTTTCCCTCAGGAAGCCTGACTAAGAGTAAACCAGTATCAGGATTCACCACCGTCCTGGTATCAAACTAGTCGCATGGTGACAAATCTCCCTTTGGTCCACAAGGGCTGCCACTGCCTGTAGTGGTGACGATCTGGGGCAGACTTTGGCTAGGCTGACCTCGGGACTCGAAGGAAACACAGCAACTAAACCAGCAAAACTCCGAAAAAATGAAGATTATGCTAGAGCTCGTACAACCAGTGTGGAGGGGCTGTCCAAATATGCAAATAGTAGGTGGAGTTTATGGTCCTACAATAAGTGTAGTTGCCGGTATAACTAGTACAGAAAGTGTACTGAAATAGTGGACAGTATGGGAAAACTACCGCTATAATTGAAATACTGAATAAGTAAGCAAATAAATAAATGAATACTACTAACTGCCACGACCGACTTTCTATTAACCTCGGCATTGATCAAGTGATTTTCTTCGTATTTTTGTTGAGCAAACGCGAGGTGTTACTATTCTTTGTTCACGATTAAGCTGACGTTTCGGCGGATTTCGCCTTCTTCAGAGTCGCTTTCTATGAGGTTTCCACTAAGTATGTCACGTAGAGACCAACCGCACAGAAATCACGTGGAAGTATGAATACTACTACTTGAAGTATAATATAGTTACTCTTCATTTGATGTGCTAGGCGACATTCATGATTGTTCAGTTCGTCCAGCAAATATTTGTTTCAGGAACTAAGTAATGTTTCGAAACCGACTTTCCTTGAACCTCGGTATCACTAATCAATATGTATTCTTTCTTTGATGAGCTTACACGAGGTTGATAATGATATTTATTTTCGGCTAACGTTTCGACGTCCGTCTCCCTCAGAGCCGATGATCGGAGTCGATGCTCCATGCTTGTTGTTCGTCTCGGCGTGGCAGCTTCGCCTTCGTGTCGAGTCAGGTCTTCCTCAGTGAGCCATCTTCTCGAATGAGGCATCCTTACTCAGTGATGCCCTTTTATACACGATGCTGATGGTGGATATAATGATAATGTCCGGTGGTAACAGCTTGTATTTCTTCCGGACATACATCATTGCGCACATCGTGCAATAGTCGGTGTTTTTATCAGCTAGCACAAAGTGTAGTAATATTTCGAAACCGACTTTCCTTGAACCTCGGTATCACTAATCAATATGTATTCTTTCTTTGATGAGCTGACACGAGGTTGATAATGATGTTTATTTTCGGCTAACGTTTCGACGTCTTCGTCTTCCTCAGAGCCGATGATCCGAGTCGATGGTCCTCGCTTGTTATTCGTCTCGACGTGGCAGCTTCGCCTTCGTGTCGAGTCAGGTCTTCTTCAATGAGCCATCTCCTGGAATGAGGCATCCTTACTCAGTGATGCCCCTTTATCTGCTACATATATACACATATATACACATACATGTGTACAAATAAAAAAACGACAATCTGATAGAAAGGAAGAGTGGTCAGAAAATCAAGATATAACAGATAAAGGGGCATCACTGAGTAAGGATGCCTCATTCGAGGAGCTGGCTCACTGAAGAAGACCTGACTCGACACGAAGGCGAAGCTGCCACGTCAAGGCGAACAACAAGCATGTAGCATCGACTCGGATCATCGGCTCTGAGGGAGACGGACGTCGAAACGTTAGCCGAAAATAAATAAATATCATTATCAACCTCGTGTAAGCTCATCAAAGAAAGAACACATATTAAGTAATGTTTGTTTATTTTCAGGTAAGGAAGTTAAGATGGTCATAGACAGGTAATTTTTCTTTCTTTCCGTTTTCTTTCCATAATAGTATTATTCGGCTACTTTAAATTGCTGCTGAAGTCACAAGGGCTAGTGGGAGTTATTTTGCGACTATCGATATCACTAATTGGCCTCTTTATTTTGTTCAACAATAGGCTACTTTTGTATAACTGCTTTAGGAAACCCTGATTGCCTTTGTTATTCTGAAGGTCATCATTGGTTTTCTTTCTTTGTGCGGTTTGTGTTCACCGATGTTCCCTCCCAACGCTTTACCTCCTTATGGTGGTTGGGAGGTGGTCCTGAGTGTCCGGCTGCGATGTACAGCGGGGCCATCCATCCCTCCAGCAGGGTCTGCCTAGCTGAGAGTGAGTTTGGCGTTTCCACCAGTAAGCACAGCAAGGAGTAAACCAATACCAGGACAGACCACAATCCTGCTATCAAACTTGCCGCGTGATAGCCAGTCTCTCTCTGATCCACACCGGCGGCCCCTGGGGTGGTGACGATCTGGGGCAGACTTTGGCCAATCTGACTTCGGGACTCCAGTGAACCACAATGGCTAGACCAGCAAAACTCCGAAAAAATGGAAGTTATGCTGGGACTCGCGAAACCACTGTAGATGAGCCATCCATATATCCAAGAAGTAAGTTCGCAGTTTGCGAATCTTTGTCACCAGTAATTTTCTAATCATTCAGACTTCAGAAAATAAATTTTTTAAAATAAAATACTATTATTCGTGGTTGTGTTATAAGCACCTCGTCAAAGGCCGAAATACCATAAAATAGCTGGAGTTACATAAAACCAGTATTAAATGGTAGCTCTGTGGTCCTTTAAGTGCACTTATGTGCATTTTAGAACTATACCAATTTTTCACCCAATCGATGGCTCTTTTAGTCATTGTTAATGTGCTACTGGACACCCCTAATTGTGTTTCTAGTGAAAATCCCGTTGTATATCTGTTAGGAGCCTTCATTTTTAACAGCTTACTTTAAGAAAAATCTGCCCAGCACTGTTTTCCTTGTCATGTTGTGCTCTTTTTTTCATTCCTCTGAGGAAGGTGTTTCAAGTGTTAATGAACCATCATCGATTTCTGTTCTGCTTTGTACGTGTTCTTAGTCTAGAGGATATTCTTCCTTAGCAGGTCGTTTTCTACATCGTACTTATGAACGTTTTCTTCTGAGTCCGTTTATGATCTGATTGATCCAGTGAATCTCTTACTTGATTCATTTTACTTTGGTAGATGTGTCTTTACTACTTGTGCTTCTCATAAATAAGTACTGTTGTGTTTCGTCAATCTCACTTACTTGGTTGTAATCAAATTCTTTGAATCTGTTATTTTTAGATGTCATGAAAATGTGTATTTTTATGTTAATCTCAACAGTGAACCAGAATCTTCGACCCTGCGATTACTGAAGAAGAGCCCTTTTTGACTGTATGTTGACCCAATGAGTGTTTTTTAGGTAGTAATAATTTCGTCGCTTTTGAAGTTTTTCTTCTATAAGCAATGTCATGTTGGAGCAAGTCTCTGTTTCTGATTCGTCTTGCGAATGTTTCTGTTGAATAAGGATGTAGGAAACCTTAGCCTAATATAATCTAAGTTTATTTAGTGGTTACTGTACATCGTAATGGCTATACAGTAGTTTGAAAGATGTCATGGGTTGGCTTATATTCGATGGTATCAGTGTCCTGTATGCGTTGGCGCTATGTTTATTGGTGAGTTCTAGTTAGTACAGCATTTCGTCCTCGCTTTCTTGGGTCTTATTTCCTACCATTTCTTGCATTATTCAACTGTTGCATGATGAAGCACTCTCAGGTGAATAGTTTGAAGTCGAAATGGCGTAAGCAAAAGGTAGAAAAAGAAATGGATTGCCTTTTTATTTCGCTTTGTGTTAATTAACCTACAAGAGAAAAAGTGACTAGTTTATTCAAATGTGGCATTTTTTTTTAGTAAGGTAAGATGTGATCACATGTAGAATTCCGCTTCTAGGAAACTTCGTGTTGTTTCTTGCCCGTAGTTATTAGAATAGTATGATACTTGGTTATTTGCATGGCCCGTCTCCACTGGTTGTGCGGATCCCCGCATAATTTCTATTTTATCGGAGTTTTGCTGGTTTAGGGGGCAGATAGCATTGTGGTAGTGATTTCGGTCATCACGAGTATGGTGTTAGTTTGATTCCGCTCCAGGCCAAACAAGCTTCTCATCTCTTTGGGGTGGGGAAATTGGTACCGAACTTGCCCGAAAAAAATCACTCTGCAATCCAATTCGGAACGCTCCAGCCCGACTATCGCAGCACACCAGGAAGAGTTGCTCGACCAGCATTATACGACATTCAAGGTGAAATGGAAATCCTCAAGCAGCAATAGAATCCACACGTAAAAAGTTAGAAGATCTTCGTGGACAATGGGTGCGAGGAAAACGAATCGAATGTAAGAAGTACTGCGATCTGCACAGTAGACGTGAAGACAGGTCATATAAAATAAAAAAAAACTGGTTTAGCCATTGTGGTTCCCTGGAGTCCTGAGGTCAGCCTAGATCGTCACCGCCACAGGCAGTCGCCACTCTTGTGGATTAAAAGGACATCTGCCGCTATGAGACTAGTTGGACACCAGGACGCTGGTGGATCCTTGTATTAGTATACGCTTAGCTTGGTTTCCTGTTGGGAACGCCGGACTCCTCAGCTTGGGCATATTATATAAAAGGTTTCAATTTTTTTCTCGAACTGATATATCTACTTTCACTGCTTCATTATGATGTATAAGAAAGAGTAAATATATATTTTGTGCTTGTTAAGATGATAATAATTATGGCTATCTTCGTACAGCGGCAAATTCTCCGACTTCGTAATAACAGTGCTCGACAAAGGCCGAATGTTTTGTTACATCCTATATCAAAGAGTGAGGTTTTTTGTTTTATTGTGTTTATTTGTGTATGTATTTTGTCGTATTTGTAGCTTTACATTAATTGTAGAGTCATGTCTCGCCATTGAACAGGCCTTGGAAGCTGTGGAAACGATGCGAAAGTCGTATTTGCCTCGTCTGACAGATTGCACTACTATAGGAGAACGTGTGTTTTCCATTCCGTACTCTATTATCTATGTACATAATAACCATGGTCTTGAAATTAAATGAGTGGAACTGTCGATAGACTGTTACGGTTTTGGCCGGTTTTGAAATGGCCCTTGCCCTAGCATACCGCGCTTAATGTGTCTTGCTCTATTTTCTGGTCATCGTCTTATTCTTGATATTTACAACAGGATAGTTGACCGTACTTGGTATATTTTACTGGATAATTTTCGGGGATGATGTGTTGATTTTTAAAAAATGCGAGATCGTTCGTGTGGTCATTATTGTTCGTTGATTCTGTGGTAACCTACCTTTTCAAGCTATGATCTACCATATTTCATTAACAATATTAACTTAACCCAAATTATATCTTCTCTGTTAATGGACAAAGTGCTTCCCTCATTATATATAGTTTTCAGATAGCAATGCACCCTACTATCATCGAATGATAGCCGTCGACGAGATTTCTCTGGAAATTGGTGAGTTTTTTTCCTTTTTCTGTCATTACAGTTCAAGATATGCTTGCCTAGGCTTTTTACAATAAGTAGGTAGTGAAATTGTTAGCAGAAATTCTGCATTGCTCATTTTGATTTCATAAACTGTTTGAGCACACAGAAGTAAAGAAAATATTTGTTTGCTTCGGGTGTAATGTTGTTACTAAGAAAAATGTAGGCTATAGAGATTTTTTTGATTCACATATTCTAGTTCATCAAATACCGGCTACTTCTAACACTTTTTGTATTATTCGAGTCATAATTTCTGAAACACTCCTTGTTGCGATCGTGGGTAATGCCAGTTCATGGAGGCCGATGTGGCTTTTATTTTTCTCGTTGGAAAAGTTTTCCTTACGAGAAAGCCTTTTTCAGTTAGTAAAACATCAGTTGAGTGCGGATTAGATTGTAGACCTTATGATTTTTCGTGGAGGTTTTTGCTGATTTATGTTACTGTGTTCGTAACGCAGAAGTGATTCTTATGGAAATTTCTCATGCAGATCGCTATGCAGTTCGTGGTAGTACTGTTTTACTGCTTTTGTGTTTTTACAATAAATAGATCTTTAGTATTATGCGAAAATTAGGCTGTGCGAAAAGAAGATATGCATGTTTGCAACGTTCCCTTAGGGGAACAATGATGAAATGGTCAGTGCGGAAGGAAGGATTAAAGGGGAAGAAATTTAATAATTTACAATTTTCTTCTTTTTCCGACTTGTTGTTGTGTCGGGGCTATACCATCGTATAAGGTGTTGATTACTTTGTTTATGGAACAGTTCTCATTGTTTTTGAATTTCTACGAAGTCTTTTTTTTTTCAATTTTCAGTCTAGTGCGACAGCTGCACACAACGGTACATCTATTTTTCGGACATAGACACCGAGTGAACTACAAAATCTTGAATACTCTTAGTGTTCGGAACACAAACCTTAGAAAAAACGGAAGATTGTAGTCCAGGCAAACATCACGACCTGGTTTGCAAAATCTTGTTCATTCAATCGTCACTCAATTACTTCTTGAAAATCACGCTTCTGTGGTGAAAAAAGCAAAAAAAGAGGTTTTTTGAGGTTAAGAAAATTAGAACTTTATCATGGTGATCCCTATAGAAGTGCATACAGCTCCTTATACGTCTGAGAATACTACCATCTGGGTTGAGTCGTTACTTCGTTCAGTTTTTGGCTAATGAAGGTAAAGGAAGAAAAGTTGTGGTCAAGCGTAGAGAAGAATATAGTCTAGTGAGAGTAATAATAGTTATTTCCAATCCCACATCTAATGTTCTTATTTTGGTTTATAGTACGCTTGTCAACTTTCAAGGTATAGCAGTGCTTCGTCCAAACATGCTTTTCTTGGTGCAATTATATTGATGAAGTTAGCCGATGTTATGACATCACGCGATTCAAAGGTTCATTGCCTTACCATAGCTGGGAGGTGTTCCTGTTTAACTGCGGTATACATCATGGGGTTTACCAATCCAGCAGTCTCCCAAGCTGTGGAGTCTGGAAATCTAGCTAACGGTAAACCAATGTCAGGAAACACCACCATCCTGTTAGCGAAGTAGTCACAAAGTAACAAACCTCGCTGTGTTCCATATGGACCGGCGACTGCCTGTGGCGGTGATGATCCGAAGATGACATCAGGTAGGCTGACCTCAGAGCCTCGGAGAACCACAATGGCTCAGCCAGCAGTAATCGAGTCTCGTTCCCTGCACACTGAGCGCTCCTGTCTTCGATGTCGGGCAGTGAGACAGCTAGTGAGAAGCGATCAAATATCGGGTTGCAGAGGACATCATAGAAATGGGATGAAACAAGCATGTCCACGACGCGCCATGAAGTCTGTCTTTTGCCGTTGTTCCTATAACACCAAAACGGCCACTTCAGACACTGAGCTTTGTGCTTTTTTTGAGGCCGCTGGCCTCATCAACTTTCATGTGATCACCCTACAAGAGACGAAAAGCGGGAAGACCGACATTCAACCATTAGGTGACGCGACCTTTGTTGTTAGTGGAGGGAAATTCCTATTATGAAATGCTAGATACGTAGAATTTGTTGTACACAAATATCTAGACATATTTGTTTGTTAAACAGCAGAACCCACTGGGCTACTCTTGCACGCCACAGGGAAAAATGGAAGATTTACTGGCGCCCGTTCGAGTCACTCGACAATCAACGGAACTACAGGTGATACAGGTGATTTGTTTCACATCTAGTCATCTCATACGAAATCCCGTAAGCCCACTCTGCATTCTTCTTCTCCAACTTTCGTATCAAAGGGAAGTCTGTATCATCAACTGTTTTTAAAGTCTGTCTGATGCAGTAATCCGCAACGAAAACTTTTAATTCGTTGTTGAAGACTTAAATGTCAAACTAGAAAAGAGCGACGAAAATGAATACGAAATTGGAAAATTTGGAATTACAGATCGAAGTGATGATAGAAACTCTGTGTGCATGACGAGAATATTCTCAATAGAATCCTCTTCTCATATGACTGACAGATTCTGGCAGATAAACGAATACTCGACCGAATGCAACAAACTACTTTTCGAAGAGCTTAGAACTTTTGGCGAACTCTCCTCTGTTCATCAAACAGGATCTAGAAGAAGTTGAGACCGCGTCTCCATTACCAGTGAGGGGTTGCTCGGGAAAAGAAAAAGACCTAAGCTTAATCCTACCTCAACACACCGAACACGCCTAATAATAGATGCTAAGTATAGACCGGATGGTGTAGTGGTGAAGTGCGCTGCTCCCCGGTAAGGACAACAACGCGTGTTCGTTCCCCACTGCATACACCTGTGGTCCGGAGTTTTGCAAATATCTCAGCACTTCATACGAGCTAAGTATAGATTTTGGTAGAAGGATTTGCACTAGTATAGGCAAAAAAAATTAATGGATGTAGCTCAAAACGATCTAATCTGAAGGAGCCCTGTCGGGTTCTATGCGATTGTAATGTTCCTACATTCTTCCAGATTAAAGAAAATGCGCCTATCACCACTTCGCGCCATGATATAGAATTAGTAACGGAAAGATTGCTGTGGCAAAGATCGATGAAAATAGCTGAGAGACAGGCGAAACAAAGGACCTGCATGGCGTGGTGGTGAACGCGTTACTCCCCGGAAAGGACAATTGCGCGTTCGTTCCCCACCATAGACACCTGAGGTCCAGAGTTTTGCAAATATCTCAGCAACGTTGTGGTTGTATTTCGCTTAGTACCCTGCCGCGAAATTATAGTAGGCAGAAAATAAAAAGGTATTATATTGTGATTTCAACTACAGCCGCAGCTTAACTGGGTTCTATGCCGATTTGGGCGCCCCAGATCAATCTCGCTGACGGGTGATTGCTGTGGCAAAGATCGATAGAAATAGCTGAGAGACAGGTGAAACAAAGGACCCGCATGGTGTGGTGGTGAACGCGTTACTCCCCGGAAAGGACAATTGCGCGTTCGTTCCCCACCATAGACACCTGCGGTCCAGAGTTTTGCAAAATATCTCAGCAACGTTGTAGCAACGGAAAAGTTCTTTACAAAATGTTCCCGCTGCGCAGTCTCCGTCTTGGACCTCGAAATTCCCGCTAGAGAAAAACGAGCACAATTTTACTTTGTGAAGGCCGAGTTAAAGTAGCATAAAGAAAGGCACAGCTATAGGACCCGATATTACTACCTCTGATTTCTTTAGAACTAGAGACCACAAATTACATGTACTTCTCGCCACCCACGTGACATAATACCTTCGGGAAGTGAAAATCGCGACTCAGTGGAGGACCTCTGACACGGTCACCTCTCCCAAGAACGATGACCGAAGGAATCTGCGTAACTATCATTTGTATGCTTGTTGAATGTACTCTGCAGACTGTTAACGTGGTTTATCTTGTAGTCCATATCACCGATATTGGATGAGGCTCAATCAGTTGAACAAGTGGAATCCCGATATGGATTCTGGTGCATGGACCACATACAGGGCGTCGTAGAAATATGTCGGAGGTACTATCTTCCTCTTGTTCTAATCCTCATCGGGTACAGTAATGGGTTTGACAGCGTCCAAACGAATACGATCCTATCAACGCTCGTCGACCAAGGAGTGGGTCTGTCCTGTAATATAAATACTAGCTCTGTTATGGAAAGTGTAACAGAAGAGCACAGCTTTTCCATCGGCGTCATACCATGCCCATACGAAAACAATTCTACAAGGTGACACAATATTTTCAAAGCTGTTCACTGTGGAAATTGTTTTGGTGGTCGCACTAACTGTAAGGACGGGCCGTCCAACTAGTATGACACTGTTGCTCTTGCCCTTATCCGGAAATGCCGACTTCGATGATTTACTGACTGTTGACAACAAGGTGACTTGGCCACGGAAATGGTGTACACGGTTGGTGAATCCACCATTTGGGAAATAAAGTGCTCACACTGCGAACTCTAGTCCTCTAACCAATCCGTGTGTAGCGCAGTGGTTTGCGTTGTACCGTAATACAGTGTCCTTGACTCAGTAACCTCGTAAATTAAGCCCTTCATTCCTGCATTCCTGCGGGATTCCACAAACGCGCATACTCATTGGTAAAACCATGCAATTCGTCGTATAGGGAAAACTTGCTCTTATTTACCTCTACAATGCCTAGTGGGGCAAATATATGGCGCATTCCTAAGTTGTAGGTCAGTGCCGAACTCGTTATCTCCATCTTATTTTCCAGTGAAGCAGTGGTGAAATTATATCTGTTAGAGTATGATTGATATGGTTTCTTTGTGTCTGTTCAATGTTTTCACATACCTTACTCTTTAGGTTTTAAGAATTTCATTGTTTTTTTTTGCTGTGGATTTGAAAAGCTATGCTTAATGTCTTTGCCCATAACGTTTTTTTTTAATGAAAATCTATGATATTACCATGTGGAATGGGTTAACTTGTCAACGGTTTACCCAACGTATTCCTAAGTATCGGGCTGCGATGTACACCGGGTGGAATCATCCCCACCGTCAAGGTCTTTCAAGTTGAACAGGAGTCTGGCGTTTCCATCAGTAAACCCATCTAAGAGTAAATCAGTACCATAATCCACCACCGTCCTGGTGTCAAGCTAGTCGTGTGGTGGTGACGACCTGGGCAAACTTTGGCCAACGTGACCTCGGGACTACAGGGAACCACAATGGCTAAACCGGCAAATTTCTGGAGAATGAAAATTATGCTGAGGTTAGCACTACTAGTGAGAAAGGCCCACTAAATTATCCAAGTGAGTAAGTAAGAATCGATTAAAACATTAAGAAAAGGTGGACAGTATCGGAGAGCAGCAATTTCTGATTTATTTATTCTTTTCGAAGTGTTTGTCACGGTACTTTTGGCACTTTTACGTAAAATTCCTTTCTTGTGTTACTTTTGTTGAGAACAGTTGTATCGTCGTTTTTCACTAGAAAAAATAGTCATGGAAGGCACAAAGGATGTGATGTTGTTTTTCGCATGACAGCGATAACAGTAGAGCAAGTCACATTCTACATGTTAGTTGAATGATACAGTATAATCCTCTCTGTTGCAAATGCACCGTAACCAGTTTAGATTAACCAAGTAAAAATTTCTGGAAAAATGTGTGTAATCATGGAAAGCTTGATCATGAAGATTATTGTAGCTTTGATGCTAAATTTTGAGAAAGGAAAGAAGTCTGAAAGGGAGAAGTAGGAAATTGAGAATTTCTTTTCACACGATCCGTCTTTTACATACTGTACGGATCCCAGCATTGGTTGCATATTTTTCGTTTCTTCACATCCATTATCTACGAAGGTTTTCCATCTTTTGCTTATGGGTTCGACTGTTGCTTTAAGGTTTTCCTTTTACCATGAATCTCGTACAGTGCTGGGCGAGTCAATTCTCCATAGGGTCCTGAAGTAGCCCAACTTAGCGTTCCCGTTTGGATAACAGAGAATGGAAAAGTCTGATACCAAGTTCCCGACCTCGGAGGTGTAAGCCCTTGGTGAGCCCGAGAGATTGCACCAGCACAGTGCCCGTGATTGATCGGCATCACTAACACTGCTCTCTCCGCGCACTAATTATAAAGAATTGGCAAAAGTTATAATAAAAGACAAAGGTGTGTTAATCTACGTATTTGTAGATGAGTTATAAATCCCAAGGTACTAATAACTCTTAAGATTAACTCCTTATGAAGAAAGGGTCATGGATAAGATTAGGAAGGAAGAAGTTGGATCGGAGAATAATTTTGGAGATTCACGAATATTAAGCGCGTGTAGCTAAGTACTCATATAGGTGCCTTATAAGACGCCCTTAATTGGTCACTAGTTCTGTTCCGCGCTCTGGGCTCACCAAGCCTCTCATCTCTTTGATGTCGACAAATTGGTTCGAAACTTACCTGGGAGGATACTAACGCTGACTCGATACATCGGTACGCCATCTAAAGTTATTGTATAGTCAAGAAACTAATGTAGCCACTTCCACGATACTTGATGAAGTTAGACTCATGGCGCATCCCTCAAGAATTGATCAATACCAAAAGCTCTATCTTTTTTTATCCAAAAATTTTACCGCGCCTGTGTTCACGTAAAGATAACACGGGTTGGAAATTAAGGGAACGAATTGTTAAGCTTATTATTACAATTGCCATATGTACTATAATTGTGACTCATACATGCATGTGCGCTTCATTTTTTTCTCTGTGAAGTTAAGTGTCAGAGTGCTACAGAGTGCTATGACATCACTTACTGTCTTGCGTTTTAGATGTACAATTAGCTCGAATCGATCCCCAGTTGGCTCGAAATGCTGGCGAGTCAACCCTGGCGTATTTGACGCGTGTTAGGCACAAAATGCCATCGCTTCCGGTCCCATTAATACAGCGTATTGCTTATATGCATGAAGCAGCTCGCTTCAGACCACAGGTGAGTGGAATGAGAAGTCGCATGTGTTCATATTCATGAGTAAGTTATTTTATAAGACAAGTAAACTTCATGGACGTTTAGAGAGGAAAAACATGTTCCATTAGATCATGAACTATTGTAATCTATTTTCACTAGAATGTGCTGTAATAGATTTTCTTTGCTTTTTTTTTAAATTTCAGGTGCAAAATGTTGTAATAGTATTTTTCAGAAATTCGAACTGAAACATTTGATGGAGTTGCGCTCTCTACTGAATCAGTTTGTAAAAATGTAAGACCATGTTTTGTACTGATTCCACTTTTCCTTTTTTCTTTTTTCTATTACGCAAAACAGTTAAAAGCCTTTATAGCGCGTTATCAACAGTATCTTGTGAATTTTAGTGCTACATCATACAATATGTGGTACCTGATACTTGAACGGCCCGACCTCACTGGTTGCGCGTGCCCCAGCATATTCTCCAATTTTCGGAGCTCTGCTGGTTTATCCATCGTGTTTCCTTGAACTCCTGAGGTCAACCTGGCCAATGTCTGCCCCAGGTCGTCGCCACCACAAGCTGCTCTTTTGGAACAGAGAGAGATTTACCACCATGCGACTAGTTTGATACCAGGGCGGTAGTTGATCCTGGCAATAGTTTAGTCTTAACTGAGCTTGCTGGTGAAAACGCTGGACGCAGTTCCGGAGGCCCTGCCGTGGGATGAATCCCTTCGCTGTATATCGGAGCTCGACACCCAGGAACACCTCTCAGCCACGATGAGGCGGTAAACCTTTTTAGAATAGTTTTAAGTGGAGCTGCATCTCTGACATGGTTCTAGATGTTTCTTATTAAATATATTGTATTATTTTCCTGTGACTCTTGTCCTTCCGTTGATCCTCGCTTTACTTTAACAGGTGACAGCAAAGTCTTCATTTATATTTTTACCACAATTTCTCAATTTATTCTGATCGCTTCGAGGACACCAACATATTTCCTTCTAGAATCTTCCTGAGGAACTCTGATTCTTTGGTCGATGTTCCGATGTTTTAGCTGCTGCATGTTTGATCTCTCTGTGGTGTGTAAGACGGCTGACATCATTCTATTTATAATACGTTGAGTAACGCTCACCAGCTTTCATCCTTCTTAAATGGTGTATTGTTTTGCGAAGCGTTCGTTAATACAAGAAGAATCAGGAAGTTGAAAGGATTGATACGGGGCAGCTCCACAAATAACCAGCGTTTTTTTTCACATTCAACCGATGTTCGATTTTGCGCAAAATCAGTGAGCGTTAGCTCCGCCACGCTAATGATTGATGTTACAACAACGATATCAACAAAACAAAGATGGTGTGGCTGCCGGTCAACGAAATTCACACCCATGTTACCCATTCGCATTTCTACTGTTGCCTTGTCGAACCTCTCCTCGTTTTTGCACCGATAAGCAATGTTGTTATAGAATAGTGGAATTTTGATCATAATTCCTTTAGTGAGCTATTAAGTATTCTTTTATATTGAGAAGGTTCTCGTGGCGCTCTACGATTTACCCATCTCTTATCTAGGCAGAGCAGGAGTTTCTAAAGTGGGTAAAAGTAAGTCCGAGAAGAATCCTATGCTCTCGCTAGACTTCGTTGTTTCGTTATCGCATAGATTTGCTCAATCATTTTGAACTCCTCTGTTGAACCCTGTTTACTTCGACTACTGTGTTTTGATCTATGTTTTTAGCGTTTTCATTGAAGTTCATTTAAGTAGAGGAATTATAGATGGACAACACACAGCTTGCAAAGTGGGCGATGTTTTTCGCGCGGAAGTTTCTCCCTCCTAATCTTTGTTATGTGGAATTTGTTTTAGTTCATCCCTTACCCCATAGTATATACCACGGATCATTAATCAGGGCGTTGTTGTAGTACAAATCCAGTGTGGAAACACATGGTCTGAGTTCTTACTGATTAAACAACTGAATGACCTATATTTTGTCAAAAGCGATAGAACATTCTTAGGTTCAATCAACAACTACTACACATCTGTGCGTTAGATGAAAACACTGTCCGGCTCATTGAATGCGTAGTACGAGAAGAGAAACTGGTGTTCTTTTGTCCTATGACAATGTTTTTAGTATTGGCGATGCACCTGTAGTAGACGCGGCCACACCAGCTAGCCCTGCCAAGGGAATTCTTCATCATCTGGGACAGAAAGCGCTTGTAAACAAAAAGAGACGGTCGAATTTTGGCGGAAGCGACGGTTAGTTTAACTGGTTTAACCATCTTGACGTCTTTTCATAAACAAATGGATAACGAACTTATCCGTAAACCACATCAATCGAAATAGGTGTAAGGTTGATTTACTTTGGTGTTATTGTATATCTTGACCTGCTTTGTCGTACTTCAATTGAGTAATTTAGTTTGAAATTAATGGTAAATAGATTAACGGCTGTCTTCACTTAGGCTAGAATTCCTCTCTGAGCTGAATCAACATTGTGTATGGAATATATATTGCATGCGAAATACTTGTTTGCTTAGCAAGCTTCAATGCAATTTTCAAGTCAGAAAAAAATTATAAGTTTAGAAAATATTTCAAAACTGTTTTAAGTCATTTTTCACCAGCAGCGTTCGTTCGTCTTGGTTGTAGGTCAAGCCCTCGAACGGTTGATATTTGGCCCTTTATTTTCATTGTATTTGGTGACATAATATGTAGCTCATCTCTGCAGTGTCATTTTTTGCTGTTATTTGGGATTCCTTAATAAAAAATATCGGACATGGGATTCAGTGCTTATGAGCTTGAACCCAGTCACAACAGCGCTAACCACGATAAGGCGATAAACCGTTGAAGAAAGCGCATATGTACCGTTGTAACAATCAAGCCTTTATGGATTTTCATGCAGGAAAATGAATAGAGATCTATTATTGTTGACTCGTTCATGATTTATAGGCTTAATTTTGAGTTAAATGTTGTTGGCTGTTTAGGTAAACTGTCTTTCATTGTGTTTTTCTACTTCCTTGAGAGCCATGCAACGCTTAGCGATTTGGTTGAAGTATGCGAGTCACTATAATACAAATTGTAGTATGCTACGGTCTGCTGCCTGCATGTGCTTCGTAGCCGTATTATTTGAAAAAAAAAAACCAAACTTCAGTCAGCTGTATGGTGGATTTTCTTAATGGATCGTATCCTCAATGTTTTTTCTTAACTGACAGCTCAACTAGAAATGACCGAATCTTTTACGGCGTGTTATATGACAGCGTTTTCTTACTCTCTTACTCTCCTCATTCCCGCTTCCTTCGCCTTCACTTCGTAAAGGCTGTGACGCATGGTGATATAAGGAATAGGGATAAAGTTCACGGTGTTGATCAATCCCTGAGGGATGCACCGTGCATTCGATTTCTTTGAGCATCGTTAGAGGTGAATGAATGCAATCTGGCCTTTACAATGACTCGCGGTGGCCAACCGATATATCGAGCCAATGCTGCCATCTTCCCAGATACTCCGGAGAGATGGAAATCTTGGTGAGCCTGTCGCCGGGATCTATCACGCGTGCATTGCAGAGCGATTCCGACCACTGAACCACGCGCGTCGTTTGGTAGCATTTATTTCATTTCAATATGATTAGAAAAATTCTGTGTATTTTCCATTGGCTGTCTGACTGATTTGGTTCAAATTCATGTTAGTTATGCAACATGTTGTAGAGCAGTGCTAAAATATGGGAACAAGCTGCACATAAATTATTGAGTTATCGGTCGCCTACAGTATGGATAACAAAGCAGTTCATTTTTTATTGGTTGTAGTTTTGAGCAATTTTCTATCTTCTTCCATAAAAGTGAGAATCTCTCGATTTTGTGACCGAAGTTTACGACATCATCGATTATCCGTAATTCGTCTCATGTTTCATGAGGTTTCACCTGGTTTCATGACAGCGCTGATCAAAGAAAACGGGTGAACACGTCCCACGGAAAGGGTAACACCGTGTTCGGTGCCCACCGCAGTCACCAGCGATACGAAGTTTACCAAATATCTATCTCAGCATCATTATGATTATTTTATTTTAGTTTTGCTGGCTTAGACTAAGTTGCTACTGTGATCAGTTACAGGCGGCCGTCTATTGGCAGGCAATGTAGTTGATGAAAGCGTCTCTCTTCTTCCATCTGAAAATCATCGCCAAGAGCTTAAACAGTCGACTTTTCAACGTCGTCAGAGTGATTCTCATCGGAGCTTATTGCAATAATCGCTGCTTTTCCTTGTTTTTTGTTGGTTAATGAGTTAATCCATCGCTCAACAATTGAATTTAATTTCGTCTTCATATTTAGTTTTTCTTCGGTTTTCTGTCGGAGACGATTCTTAACTAGAAAAATGACACAACATTGTATTTTTGAATATATTTATTCCGATTGTATCCAATTCTGTCTAAACCATCGCTTTGTTCCATATGTAACTATTTAAATAATACGTGTATTTGCATCCAAGCTCAAGTTTTAGTGGTTCATTTCCCTATCTCTTAAATAGCGGTTTTTAAGAAATAGCACCACAATCTCTCATGTATCTACGAGTATTCGATCAATAACTGAGTTCTGAAGAAACTAAAATAATCAGGCATTAATTTTGAAGTCATTCTTTAGTGACTGAGGATCATTTCAAAACTTCTTATCCGTGGGAATAAGAACCGTTCGCGATGGTGGTCTGCTCAATTCGGGTAAGGTTCGTTTTGATGAATGAGTATTCTTCCTTCCTGGAGGACTCAGTAGGCTTCTTTTCAATTATCATTATGACTCAGATTGCTTGAAGAGTTGAATTCACTAAGGATTGGTTTTCGATATTCATTGCTTAGATTTCGACGATGATATGTGAACTCATTTGAACTGTGAGCTGTTGCTGTTACGCAGTATTACTAGTCGATGCTTGTAAATTTCCGCTGCTGCTTTCCATTTCCTACATGCATGGTGGTGTATCCGTGTTTTTTTTCTGTGTATTAAAGTTAATGGAAGCTGTGAGGTTTGGTTTTATATCGTTCAAGATGCGTAGTGATACTTTGCCCTTCAGCAATCAATATGTGTATTTATTCTACAATTTATTAGTTAGGCGAAGCAAGGACATTTTTTCAAGTTGCCGGTTCTGATCGCGTGGTCGCGATGATGAGTTTCGCTGGACCGCGCGATCCGATGCGTAACCGGCGGTACTATGAGGATCGTCACGTTCTGTCGTCCGAGCACTCGGTGGTGCGTTTTTGTTCTACGTTTCTTTTCATCTTTTGCGTTTTATTGGTGCAGGTGTCGGTGTTCTCCTTTTCCGTCATCATCTTTAAACACTGTCACAGGTTCAACTAAATTTTACGAATTGAAATAAGAACTATAACAGTAAAGTTAAACTATACTCTTTTGTCAGTATGAAACACTTAAGTTCACAGTGGTGGATTCGAATTCTGGTGTCGTGCAACCGATAAATTTTTTGAGAACATAGGTAAGAAACGATAAAGCTCTCTGCGTTGGTAAATCCCTGAGGGATGCTCCATCCATTTGACTTCACTAAACATCGTTGGAGGTGACTGAATTCATATCTGGCCTTTACAATGATTCGCGGTGGCCTTTGTACCGAACCAGAGCTGCTATCCTTCCAGACAAGTCTGGTACCAATTCTCCAACTCCAGGAGGATGGAAGGTCTCGTGAGTCTGAGGCTCGGGAATCGATCCCATGTGTATTGCAGGACGCCTCCGACCACTGCGCCACATGCGCCCCTCGAGAGCTTAGTTACTATTCAGTAATCGGTGATCTGTTGCAGAAAACAGTTAAAGTACTTGAAAAGTAACAATGATTTGAAGAGAAGTGTATGTCTAAGGTGCATGAGGTAGTGTCTTTCATCTTCTATTTTGCAACGCTTCGAATTTTTAGCTTTTTATTCTTTTTTATTCCTTATTTTTGAGACCACCGACTATCTTCTTTTTCCTGTTTGGTAAAATGTAGGCTTTTGATGACTTAGTAAGAGTATGGTTGTCGTAATGCTGATGGTTATCTTGTTCTCATATTTAACCATGTGTTGATATCAATCTTATTTTACTCCTGCTCTGACAGAGGTTATGTACTTCTACAAATATCACGGTGTTCTTTCCTACCTTTCGACTAAATTTTTCTCCTTTCTTAACATCTCACCTAAAACACTTCCCGTTTTCAGTTTGAGCTTGATGTTCTTCTTAATCGAATTTTAGAAAATCGTCCTTAATTGGCACCATATGGCAGTCTTAAACTTGAATTTTGATTTAACATCCACTTGTTGTCTTTGGTGAGCGAGGATTTAAAAGGGATTGGTATTTGGAATCAAGCTGTAAATCGGATAGTAAAGTCTGTAATTAAGGCAACTGCTCGATTGAAAAACGTGAACGATTCGACTTTTATATCACCGTCGAGGTCGATTTCTGGTGGGGAAAATGGTGTATCGACCACCCAGAAAGCCGCACCGATGTCAGATTCAACATCACGTCGGCTGCCGGTGAGAGTTTCCATCACAAATGCTTCACCAACACGTAGTAGTGGGGGAGCTGCAGGAGGTTAGTTATTCATCTTTACTATTCTTGCTATCTTCGTGTAATTTCTCGAATTGAATACGGGTAACACAATGTTGAGAGCGAACAATATTGCTTTAATTGTTTCAGATTTTGGTAGTCTCATGAAGACGACTTGGAACGATATCAAAGAACTGTTAGGATTCATACCTCCCTGTCATAATGGAGGCACAAGAAAGGTTGGTGCTGCCTGTGAGTGCCCAAAACTGTTTGAAGTAAGTTGCAAGCTTTTTGTTTTTCCAACTTATTTCGATCCATGATGTTTTTCAGGGAAATCTTTGTGAGAAGCGGATATGTTTGAATGGTGGGAAGTTGGAAAGGGCGAAATACGGCCCTGTTTCTTGGGATTGCAAGTGAGATTTTCCAATGCCTTAAGTTTTTCATCGTTACAACCTTGTATTTCATAGCCGAACATTCCTTTTCTATTGCGTCGTCGTCGTCGTTTTTTTAGCAGTTTGCGATTTCGTGTATAACAGCAGGTTTCCTTTAGACGATCTATATGAATATATATCTCGTCCACACTACTGACAGATATATCAGCAAATCTTTTAAATGGTTGACATCAAAATTGCTATTATGTTTTAGTCACCTTATGGTTTCTTCTGGTATATTTGGTGTCAAAAACATGTCCAGTTTAACATTGTTTTCCTAAGACGTCTCCTTTGCTGTAAACATGTCATCAATTTGTGGTTGAACTATGATTGAGGAATTATGGATAGATATGAGAGAATAAGAGTTTTACAAATGGCGCGTCGGCAATAGCTTTTATATCCAAAAACATGACGTTGAGTGCTATAAATCGAGGCGAATTGTTCTGTTGTGCACTCTGTCTTTCTAGCATGATATTTTGTTGTCTTCAGTGTTCAGGTGTCAACAGCATTATTGATTTAGTTTGATGTAGCGAGATCTTTCCAATTGTTACAGTGAGAATTTCGAGGTAGCAAAGCTACATGTCCTCTATGTTGTTACAACTAACTGTTACAACTTTTATTATGCCTATTAAATTGCCTTTTCTATAAATTGTTCTTTCAAGTTTGTAGGCATCATTTGCCGTTTTGCTCATTTTCTTCGTTATGGTATGCTTTGATTTCTCGTTGTGTTTCTCCATAGCAGAAACAGAGGGATTTAAGTGTTTTTAGGTGTCCAACACCGCAGTATATTGAAGGAGCCCATTGTGAAACCGTACGATGTGGTAACAATGCGCACTTGCGCACGGAAGTAAATGGTAGTTGGTGGTGTGACTGCTCGGACAGCATGTTCTATTCAGGGCGTTTTTGCGAGGTCCTCTTCGTTAATGTTTTGTAGTCGTTGTTATCTGATCGTTTTGTTATCCTTTTTAGTATATCTGTATAAATAGCTGAAAAATTCCTGAATTCATTCTTGTTATCATATTTTTAAAGGAATTTACTGCACCATATGCCGTGTTTGCCATACCGTTGGCGTGTCTATTGTTGTTCGCGTTGTGTATAGCAGTATGTCAAATGGATCTATGCCCAAGAAGACGGTCGTCTCGTCATCGCTTATCGGATTCGGTTCAAGGAAATTCTGCTCCACGTAGTAGACGCAGAACTGCGACATGTACGCAGACAAGACCCCGTGGCAATCCAGCGGCTGGTCAACGAACCGCAGTCACCCAGGTGAGTTCAAGTCAAAGACATCTAAACCGTTAAAAGCGTGGATTTTGCGAGCCTTCCTTGTTCTATGAATCTTTGATGGTTTGTGTCTCTAACGGTAAAAATTTAGCTACTGTGTAGTAATCTTGCCGAAGCGGAGTGAGTGGATTATTTTGTCAACTGACTAATTGATTTGATGTGCAAAGTTTGGTATACGCAACTCCATAATGAACCATCTAGTACATTTTGCAGATCACAATGTTCTACAATTGAAAAATATGTTGAAATTGGACCCTTTTTGAAACTTCGTTGCACTCATTTACTGTCTTTTGAAACAAAATTTTCAGGAACTCCTCATAACAGAAGACCGTGGGTTATGCAGACGAAGTGTTGCATATCCCCAAGGAATCGTCTCACCATATGTTATACGACTAGACACGGTTCCACATTTCAATCCACATATGATAGGCAAGTTCTGGGAATCCTGCTTTTTTAATTGGTGCATTTTGTCTAAGTTGTACTAATTAAATTTTAAAAAAGGGTTGAGAAAAATGTGTAGCGGTATTGGTGAAATTTTTGAGGTCTTCATAATTTTACCGAAATGCAATTTAAATCCGTAATATAGCCGTGTGCGGCAGTAGTTGGAGACGCCACTACGACACACACGTGGAAACGATCTCCGTGCCCATGACTCACCAAGCATTCCATCCCTCCGGGGTCGGCAAATTGGTACCAGACTTGTTTGGGAGGATAGCAGTACTGCCTCGATGCATCCTTAGGCAACAACGAGTCATCGTACAGGCCAGATATACATTCATCCACCTCCAACGATACTTAATGAAGTCGAATGCATGGCGCATCCCTAAGGCATTGATCAACGCCGAAAGCTTTAGAGCTTTAATATAGCCATCATGTTGAACTATCACAAACTTTAACACATGGTTGGCTGCTTGATGCCCATTCCTAGAAATGTAATTATATAGCAAGTGAAAGATCAACATTTTCGTGCGTTGTCTCGGATGCCGCTTGAGAATTTCATCTTCTGTATGAATGTCGTGAAGTTCTTGTTGAGTCGATTATCCTTGCAATCTTTGAATAGCAGGGCTAAGGTGTTCCAATATGAAATGGAGAGGAGTGTTGGGAAGGAAGTCGAAACAGCACCTTTCTTCCTGGAGGCTGCATCACTGATAGGTGCGCTACCCCTTTGTCCCTTCTAATGAGTATTTGCCAGTTTTTGAAATCGAAGATAAATTAGTAGTGAAAAAGTAAGTGTGACAGCAATTGACACTTGTCGAAAACCATTGATTCTTATGCTGTTGGCATAGGGCATGCAGCTGTCAATTTCAGTAATAGTCTGAGGTCTTTTAAACGATTCTCTCCGTTCATATTAAGAAGCTGAGATGCTTTAACGTTGACACTGCTTGTTTTTCTGGTGTTGCTACTCAAGTAATGTATCTGTGTCGTGCAACTTTTCCGATACCCAAGGTTTCCCATATGTTCCACACATCCCATGTTGCCGCAAATTTCTTTGCCTGCTGAAGAGTAGTTGTGTTCGGTTTTGCTTTAAAGGTATTCCACAGAGCCTCACCATGAACCTTAGCAGACATTGTAATTTCATTCTCACCTCTGAATGTTGTGATACCTATACCCTCACTCGTAATACCCTCGCAATACCCTCACTGATAGTGCGAAAAGTTTATTGTTCAGATGGTATCGTTGTTGTGCAGTTGACCAATAAACCACTGTAAATAACTTCCATGCTGAAGTATTTAGAGCACTTTAGTGTTGTTATGACGCAGAATCCGGACACTATTCCTTCGTCATTTCTAGAAACAACTTTGGAAACTGTTGCAGAACTTTCTTTTCAATGCAATACAATGGTTTTAAGAGGAAGTCGGGAACATTGTTTTTTGTGTCATATTTTTCTTCCGTTGTGTGGTTACATTTTCCTTATCACTCTCTTTTGAATATTGTGTTTTTTCACACCTTCTCTAGTTTCGTTATAGCATGTCAAAATACCGCCGCATCATGAACCTGCTTCCCTACTTTTGAACTACTTTTTATACTTTCTGTTTTATAGATTAGTGAGTGAAGTCGGTGTTTCGTATATGACATATTGTTGATCGTTTACAATTTCGTTAATATTCAGGTGGTGTCGACCCGATGTCGACCGTGAAACCACTGGATCCACCTCCTAGTTACGAACAAGCTATATCCGCTGTGCCAGTTCCACAACCACCGAGCTACACCGAAGCAGCTCATGAAGTAAGTTGTTCACTTGTTTTAAGTAAACTTTGTCTGTTTTCTATATTACTTTTCCTCGGTTATGTATTCATAACGGCTTTAATAATCAGATTGTGTGTTCATACAAAGTATTTTTGATGCGCTGACACGAGATTGCTAACTATTGCTGTGGTAGTTCTCAGTGATTGCTAATATACCAACGATTTCGCCTTTTTCGAAATTGTAAAGAGGCTATATATATATATATTTATATATATATATATTTTATAGCTTTATTCGGCGAACAGGGCAGTGATAGCGCAGTGGTTAATCATGCCGTTAATCGGGAAAGAACGGTACTAGTTCGATTCCCGTTCCATCGCTTACATTCCATTCTACGTGCGAATGCCCTAACACTGTTATTTCCAAGATTTCTATGAGAATTGACAGCATTCTACAACATTAATAAAGTAGATGAAGTCCTCAGCAGGTGAAACAATACACGAAATATTGGGAGACCGCTGTGGACGATGAGTGCGAGGAAACGAATTAAGTGCAAGAAGTGTTGGGATCCGCATTGTAAATCTGATGACGGGTCGTGTAAAAAAAGAAATATGTGGTGCACAGTTCTATGCCCTCAATGGAAACTTCAGGAGTGGACCAAAGCCTTGAGAACTCATCGTGTTCCATTGTACACTGTTTAGAGACTGAAGGTACCTATTCAAGCTTGACGGTATTGAATTCCATGTGTGAAGTAGATTTTCGCACTTTTCTTAATAACGGTTGCTTTAAAATGGCATCAAATAATGTTGCAAATAAACATTAACTTGCCCACTGTTCTGCTCCAGAGAAGGTTCTCCAAATATCGGAGCACAAAAGCTTTACTGGGCTAGCTGCACATTTCTTGAGTTGAGCGAAGGTTTCTGTTAAAAACAATGATCTAAAAATTTCTTTAACAGTAACTGCCACGACCGACTTTCTATTAACCTCGGCATTGATCAAGTAATTTTCTTCGTATTTTTGTTGGGCAAACGCGAGGTGTTATTATTCTTTGTTCACGATTAAGCTGACGTTTCGGCGGATTTCGCCTTCATCAGAGCCGCTTCCTATGAGGTTTCCACTAAGTAATACTAAATACTAGTAATACTAAGTAATACTTAATGGAAACCTCATAGGAAGCGGCTCTGAGGAAGGCGAAATCCGCCGAAACGTCAGCTTAATCGTGAACGAAAAATAATAACACCTCGCGTTTGCTGAACAAAAATACGAAGAAAATTTCTTTAACAGTATTCGAAGTGTCATCAAACATATTGTCATTTGGTTTGAAACGCCTAGGTGACCATGTCTATATAACACAAAATTGAACGATTTGACTTAATGGCAAAGCAGAGATTGCTTCATCTATTTTAGAACGCGTGGAGACGAACGCTGGTTGAATGATGAAAACAAAGTCTTTTTCATGACATAGTTTTTCGAAAGTGTTCTTCGATTGTCATCTTCGAACTACTAGTGTCCTCAACCTTTTCCTTCATGAATACTCAGACATCCGGTTCAAAAGTAAACTACGTGCTTAAGGTACGTCGGGGCTGTTTTACTGGCCTAAACATTGGTCACATTGGAGAGGTATCGTTTTAAGAAAACTAGTAAAATAAAGGATAAAGCTCTCGGCGTTGATCAATCCCTGAGGGATGCGCCATGCATTCGACTTCATTAAGTATCGTTGGAAATGATTGAACGCATATCTGGCCTTTACAATAACTCGCGGTGGTCTGGCGATGTATTGAGCCAGTGCTGCTAACCTCCCATACAAATCTGGTTCCAATTTACCGACCCCGGAGGGACGGAAGCTTGGTGAGCCATGGGTGCTTGGATCGACTTCACGTGTGTGTCGCAGCGGCGTCTCCAACCACTGCTACACACGCGCCCTTAAACAGACCTGGAATATCACTTCAATGATGCTGAGATATTTGCAAAACTCCAGACCGCAGGTGTGTGCGGTGGGGAACGAACGCGCTATTGTCCTTTCCGGGGAGTCGATAGATCGATAGAACTAGCTGAGAGACAGGCGAAACGAAGGACCTGCGTGGCGTGGTGGTGAACGCGCTACTCCCCGGAAAGGACAATAGCACGTTCGTTCCCCACCGCGCACACCTGCGGTCCGGGGTTTTGCAAATATCTCAGCATCATTGAAGTAATATTTCACAATGAATACCCTGCCGTTAAAAAGAGTAGGCTGTAAATAATAAGTTAAAACCTAAAATAGTAATTATATGCTAAGTAATCACACGGCAAGTAGTTGCCGAAGAAATACGGTTTGTGGTGGTATGCAGAAAAAGTTCAATCAACAAATTTCCTTGATGACAAGTTTCGTAGCCATAAAATTGGCCATTGGACAGCCTTGACAGTCTAGTAATAACACGTGCTTTAGGCTGTGAATAAGGCGAATAATAATCGAAACATAATCTCTTGAGGACGTACTGTAAACTACTGTCAGCCCATTAAGGATCGCTTATGAGAACACAACAGCTTAAGTCGATTTTATTAAGCAATAGTCGTGTTTTGTTCATGGAAAATATTACTCGGGGCATGGTTTTCTCCGCGTTCGTATGTAATTGAAAAGCTCTATTTCCCACCTTGTTAAAGCAGGACGTTGGTATTCATTTTTTTTGAAGTGTTAGTTAAAATTAGAACTAGTTCAATGTAATTGGACATTTGGATGGCTCATCTACACTGGTAATGTGGATCTCAGCACAAATTCCATTCGTTTCTCTCAAGCTGACGCCGCTGGTGGTGGTCTGCTTCGAACTTGGCGACGTTTGCGAAATTATTGTGCGTCATCGGGATGAGAAAATGCATAAATGTTGAGTCGGTATTGAATCTAATTAGGCTGGAGTTGCAGTCGAAATCGCAATGTTTGACCTTTGTTTGGCGCCTATTAATTTTTTCGTGGCAGGGTATTGTGTGAAATACAACCGCAGTGATGCAGAGGTATTTGCAAAACCTGGGTTTATGAAAGAAAAGGCCAGGATCGAACCCGCGATTACCGTTTCCGGGAGCTGACATGTTACCCATTGCATCGCTGACGCCCTTGCTTTGACTTTCTGTTAGCCAGTTACCCGTCTACTAGAATGATCTGTGGAGCACAAATTAACAGTGCACCCAATTAAGCTCGATTAGTGTATTGGATAAGACGTGCGTCCCCGGAAGGGATAATCGCAGGTTCGAAGCGCATCTAAAGTTCCGGATTTTCTTCGTATCTCAGCATTATTGTGGTTGTATTTTACATAATACCCTGCCACGAAAAGAAATTAGTAGGCAGTATGTAGAATTTAGACACAAATGTTAGTTTTCATCATGAGGAAACTTAATCTAAAAAGATCGAAATGTTGAAGGATATAGACCGTTTTGAGAAGCCAATGCTTCATTCACGGTGATGGTTTAATATTTCAATTTCTTTCCTTTTTTTGGAACTTATTTATTTAGGTATATTGGTAATTATTCCAAATTATTCAAATGAAAAATAAGAGATCTTACGGTTTTGCCGATAAAACAGCGCATTCATACAATCTTTTGCTTTCATTGACGACGAGCTTTTGAATGTTCAGTTTTTGACTGAGCCCACAGCTAATTTTTTTTAGTGTTCTCCACCTCCACCTCCTCCTCGGCAACCACCGTTGCCACCGCCTTCGTGATATCGAAGCATGATTCGAATGCTTTCTTCACTATTCATTTCTTATTACTCCTTTGACTGAAAACAAAATTATAGAAGGTTTTTTTTTCCTTCGTTATAACGTATTTGGACGTGTTTAGTTCCATCGTATAGATCTGAAGCGAAACTGTGATGTCATCTGGCGGAGGTTTCTATTTCACCATTTTATTGATAGTAGCGATAAGTAATATTTCGCTCTCTACATTCTTTGTCCATGAATGATGATCCATTCACATATGGTACTCAGATTCCGCCAAGTATGAAGGTTGGAGATTTGGCACTGTTTTTCGTATGCCTTCTGTATATTATATTGTTCAGTTAATTGTTTTGTTTTATTTCTTGCGTTGGAATCGCTTTCAGGGTACTATATCATGTGTTCTGTTGGTATAAGAGTAGTAACTATTCTTTGAACGACGTATGATTTTTTCTAATTTGGATCAATCAATGAGTAGTCGTTTTGGTTTTCGAGGATTGGGATCCGTCGAAATAAGGGCATAGGGACGAAGTTACTTGTTTTAAATTATCACTTCGATAATATTTTTGTTCGTAAATTTTTGTGCTTTAATCGCCTTCATTCTGTGTATTGTAGTTTTTCTTCCTTTTTTGGCTTTTCTTTAATGAATGTCGATTTCTTCGTTTTTCTTGAACATTAGAGGGAATTTCCTCAGGTAACATTCTTTTATTGGGAATCAAGGTAACCTTAAAATACAGTTTTTACAGTAGTACTGAATTGGATTGCGGATGATTAGATGGTATGGTGGTGTAGAATTTCCATTCATAAATCCAGCAATAACGCATAACTTTTTATTAGGAGAACATAACTCGCCAGGGATTGCGGTACCCAGTGCCCAAAGTCCAGGTGTTGTTTTGACTAATATTTGCGTTATTAACAAACAGTAACAGGAATTGACGAGCAGCCAATGTCTTGATGATGCATGCGATTGAATGATAATAGCAATGTAAATAGGTGGCGTGTAGCATAGTGGACAGAGGCGCCGTGCAATACACATGGGGGTCGATCGCCGCACCCAAGGTTCACCAAGCCTTCCATCCCTCTGGGCTCGGAAAATTGGCACAAGACTTGTCTGGGATGATAGCAGCACTGACTCGACACTGGTAGACCGCCACGAGTCATTATAAAGGTCATATATGCATTCAATCACCTTCCTCCAACGATGTTCAGTGAAGTAGAATGCATGGCACATCCCTCAGGGATTGATTGACGCAAGGAGCTTTATTCCTTTATCCCTTAATCATTTAACTTATACATGTGTTTCTATTATATGTATTTTCAAAATAGATGGACATTGACTAGTATTTCATTTAGGAAGACGACTTAGCGTAGTTCGTTTTTATGTGCCACAAACAACCTGGGCAGCGAAGGCAGCGTCCCTTTGAGAACAAAGTGCCATGGGAAAAGATTCTCTACCGAAGACAGCCGTATCCTGACAATTATTCTGGAGACGATGAACAATTTCTTTGCGAGTTGAGGAAAAATCGTATGTTACTTATGTTCGTATGTTATCGTATGCTTGAATTATTGTTATTGAACCACCATGGAAAATTGGGAAAGAATTGTACTAACGTTTATCTTTTAGAAAGGAGTTTGGAGGTTTGAAACTTTGAGTGGTTGTTCAATTTTGCTCCGGCGGTGAAACTCAACTTTTGTTCTTAAATGTGCTTCTATTAAACTGCATCGTATTATCTGAAATCATCTTCGTGCTGGCGACAATTTTTCACGACCACAATTTTTAAATCTGGTTAATTTTCATTAGGCTACTCTGTATTTCTTACTTGGATACCTGGATGACCCATCCTCACTAGTTGTGCTGGCGCCATCATAATTTTCATTTTTTCGGAGTTTTGCTGGTTTAGGCATTGTGGCTCCCAGGAGTCTCGAGGTCAACCTGATCAATGTCTGAATCAGGTCGTCACCACCACAGGTAGTCGCCGCCCTTGTGGATTAGGGGAAAATTTGTCACCATGCGGCTAGTTTGTTACCGGGACAGTGGTAGATCTTGGCATTTGCTTACTCTTAGCTCAGCCACCTGATGGTGACGCCGGTCTCCTTGTGGGTTTGGGAGGACCTGCAAGAGGGATGAATCCCCCTACTTTACATCGCAGTCCGACATCCAAGAACACCTTCCAGCCGCTATAATTCATCTGTATCAATTGTAGTACCATTGATCGTTGAATGTCTCTAGTGGGTCCCATTAAATCTTCCATTTTTCCCCGTCGCTTGCACTAGCCCAGTGGATTCTGCTCTTGGGACTCGTTGAGCATCGTACTTTTTTTCTACGCTTTTCGTGAATACGCATTACGTGTCTGGCCCACCTTATCTTCGACTGTTTGGCGTGCAGAACGACATCTTTAATATTTGATCGTTGACGAAGGTCAGAACTTTCCTTCCCTTACTTGTGTGACCCGGATACTCCTGGTGTTACCCTTTCGAATGCGAATTTCAATTACGCTGAGTGATCCTTCATCCTGCTTACGCAGTGACAAGGTTTCTGTCAACGTTAAGGCAGGAAGGAAGTAGCGTTGAGTCGAAAAGGTGGGCACGGAGTCGGATGTTCTTTGTTCGCTTCACTACATCCTTGATGCTCTTGAAAGCTCCCCAAGCCGCTCGTTTCCTTGTGCTCAACTCTGGAGCTAAGTCCTTCATTATGTTGATTTCGCGACCTAGATGAACGTAGTTGTAGCATTGGTAAATGATGAATTCGTTGAACGTGAGTGGGGCATACGAAACCAATCCGTTCCACATGAACATCGTTTTTGTGAGATTTACTCGAAGACTATTCTTTCCACAGACTATCAAAGTCGTCAAGAATACATTCCGCTTGTCTAATGTTTGGTGTTATAAGGACGATATCATCAGCAAATCGAAGATGGTGCAATTGCCGACCATCGATTTTCTCTCCGATGTTGTCCCATGGCACGGATCTTCCTCACATGAGGGATCTCGAGCCGGTTAGTCACGAGGCTATGTGGCTCGTTACCAGGTTGCGGATAGGGGTTAGTCGCAGACAAAAAGCGACCTTTGTTTCCCTGACGCACAGGTTCGTCCAGGGATCGACTCCCAGTTTCTGCTGCACCGATTTGGCCAATACTTTCTGTATTTGATAGGTGTATTCATGTATGCCTGTGTGGGTGCGTTCTTGCTTATGCGGATTGTATTCTACGAGTCAATTCGGCCAAAAGCCTGCAATCAAGTGACTGGGCAGTATTTGGGAGGCGGTTACGAGTCGCCTCCAACAAATAAGCTTCATGTCCACTCTGCGAGAGCCTGGCAAGATATCCGTGATTATACCCAGCCTCCATGTGCAGAACATAGCAAGCTATACGTGGGTATCAAAGTGGTAAACACATTGAAAAAAAAAGGGCATCATTTTTCTGACCCCGAAAGAACCCCAATTTCGCAGCGTTGGGTAGGACGAGTACGGAGAGGCTGCTAAAATCTCAGGGTCAATGGAAGCTGCCTGGATTTCAGAGAACTATGGTGACGATCTCTACCTATAGTGCACGTACACTTGCATCCGAGTCGTTGTTAGAAGACTTGCTCATGCAAACAAGGAGGATTAGGTACTACGTCATCGGACGGGCCGAGACAAGAAGACGCGGCGTTCTCGTCAACACGAGTTTTTCCATGAATATCGAGTCATTCGAACCACTTATAACCCGAATCGGACGTTTACGATTAAAAAGATGTGGATCAATTCCGGCTTCGACAGTGTTCGTCGTTTACGCGCCGACATCAAACTATGACGAAGTCGAAGCGTTCTATATGGACTTAGAGAAGTTCTACAGGGAAGACCACACATTCTTTAAGGTCACCATTGGAGATTTCAACGCCAAGATTGAACCAAGAAGAACGTCACATTAGGACCCACGGATTAGAATGGAACGAACAGGGTGAGCGGCTGTCTGAGTTTATCATGGTGACCAAGACAATCCATGGTAACTCGCAATTCCAGAAGCCCCACCCTCAGCGCTGGACGTGGGAGTCTCCCAATGGAGAGTACCATAACGAAATAAACCACATCGTAGTAAATAGAAGGTCTTGTCTAACCGATGTCGCTGTTGTCCCAAATTCTGCACGGGATCAGATAACCTTCTCCTTCGTGCAAGATTCTATTTCTCGCGGAAAGGAGAAAAAGCCGGTAAATTCCAAAACCGAAGCCCCAGAACCACCGCAAACTTGGACTTATTTAATTCATTAGTTGGCTGTTGGGAAGATACCGTTGCCGATAACATCGACGAAGAATACGATCGGCTCATTCAATATCTTCACGTTAGCGCTATGGAAGCTTAGAGTTCGAAAGTCACCAAGAGACGTTTGTCTCCGGAAACCCTCGAGCTAATACGCGAGCTTGGAATCGCACGAGCTGCAGGCAATCGCGATCCAACGTCCGAACTTGCAAAACAGTGCACACAGGCGATAAAAGAAGATCTTAAGAAGAGAAGAGCAGCAGTAATGATCAAAGCTGCACAGGCTGGGAAATGCATTCGCAAAGTCCACCGAAGCTTCGCCAATAACACGACCAAGACGATTGCACTCCGATACCTAGACCGAACAGTTGCTGCGTCCATAAAGGCAGTGAAGAAAATCATTCACGACTACTACTCAGATCTCTTCAATAGCCACGTCTGCCTTCCCTCATATGAAATAAAAGAGGATGGGTATGTCGTACAAGTGGTTCCCTCCTCCGAAATACGACGTGCTATTTCGTTGGTGATAAGTCGAACAGCAGCAGGTCCGGACAGGATAAGACCAGAAAACCTGAAGACTAAAGAACCTTCCGCCACTCCTCGTAAACAAACTCTCTCGGCTCTTCACACGTTACATGTCTGAATTATGGTCACTACTCAGTGGAAGACCAGCAAGACCGTGTTATTGTTCAAGAAGGTGACCTACACGATATAGGCAACTATCGTCTAATCTGTATGCTGTCTGTCGTCTACAAACTTTTCACTCGAGTCATT